CTAAGAGGGAGAGCAGATTAAGGGAGAGACTAGTTAGAAACAAACCAAACTGGAGGCAGGGAGAAAAAGAAAAGGAAAAGTATAAGAGAATAGGATGGAAGGTAATACACAATTAATGATTATAACCGTAAAATATTAATGGGATGGACTCACCCAGGAAACAGAAGAGGACAGCACACTGGATGAGAAACCAGAATCCAACAATATATCAAAGAAGAAACACACTTGAAACAGAAAGATACACACAGGGTTAAAATAAGGGGCCGGATCAGAATCTGTTATGCTTCAACTGGAGAAGAAAAGGCAGGGGTAGCAATCATGATCTCAGACAAAGTAAAAGGAAAAAAAAGACCTAATTAAAAGGGAAAAACAGGGAAAGTACATTTTGCTAAAAGGTACCATAGACAATGAATTAACACTTATTCTAAATATACATACACCGAATCTGAATTCTTAAAGAAAAAATTAAATGAGTTATAGGAAGAAACAGACAGTAAAACTATAATAGTGGGGTCTCCATCAGATGTAGATAAATCTAATGAAAAAAATAAGTAAAGAGAAAAGAAAGAAAGGTCCTGAATAGAATTCTGGAAAAGTTAGATATGGTAGCATTCTGCAGAATATTAAATGGAAATAGAAAGGAATATACCTATCTCTCAGCTATGCATGGCACCTTCTCAAAAATTCACTATATATATATATATATATATATATATATATATATATATATATGTTAAGGCATAAAAACCTTGCAAACAAATACAGAAAAGTAGAAATATTAAATGTATCTTTTACCATCCATAACACAAAAATAAATTCATTCAATAAAGGGCCTTTGAAACAAAGATTAAAAGTTGAAAACTAATCAGATTGTATGCTGTCTTGGAGAGGGAGGTATGGAGGAAGGTGGAGAACAATTTAAAACTCAAAAGCTTGTGGAAGTGATTGTTGAAAACTAAAAATAAATTAATTAATAAAAAGTTGGAAACTAAATAGTTTAATCCTAAAGAATGAGTAGGTTCAGGAATAAGCCACAGAAATAATCAATAATTTCACTGAAGATAACGATAATAGTGACACAACATATAAAAATTTGTGGGACATGGCCAAAGAAGTACTTGGAAAAACGTATATTTCTAAATATCTTCATCAATAAAAGAGAGAAAAATCAGATCAATAAACTGGGCATTCAATCCACAAACCAACAAATTTAAAATCCCCAATTAAACACCAAAATAGAAACCATGAAAATCAAAGGAGAGATGGACACAAATATAAGCAAAAAAAAAAAACTGAGTTAATAAATAAATCTAGGACCTAGTTTAAAAAAACCCCAATAAAACATAAAGTATTAACTTGATTTTTAAAATGAAAACCAAATGACTAAAATCAAAAATGAAAAAGATGAACATACAAGCAATGACAAAGAAATAAAATTAAGAGCTATTTCACTCAACTATATGCCAATAAAACTGACAATCTAATAAAATGGATGAATAGTTACAAAAATATAAACTGTCCAGATTACCAGAATAGGAAAAAGAGTATTGAAATGACCCTCTCATGGGCCAGCCAGGTGTTGTAGTAGATAGAGTACTGGCCCTGAAATCAGGAGGACCTGGGTTTAAATCCGACCTCAGACACATAGCACTCACTAGCTGTGTGACGCTGGGCAAGTCACTTAACCTCAATCGCCTCACCAAAAACCCCCCCAAACTAATCCCTCCTTTGGGGGCAGCTAGGTGGCGCAATGTATGGAGCACCGGCCCTGGATTCAGGAGGACCTGAGTTCAAATCCAGCCTCAGACACATAACATTAGCTGTGTGACCTTTATATGTTGTGTCACTATTATCGTTACTTAACCCCATTGCCTAGCCAAAAAAAAAAAACAGAAAAGAAAAGAAAAGAAAAGAAAGAAATAACCCTCTCTTAGAAAAATAAATTGAACAAGTCAAAGTAAAAAATCCCAGGACCTGATGGATTTACAAGCTAATTCTACCAAATATTTAAAGAATAATTAATTCCAAAACTATACAAACTGAATAAAATAGGAAAATTCTTTCCAAATTCTTTCTCACATAAATTTGGTCTTGAAACTTAAGTCAGAAAGAGTTAAAGAAAAGTACAAATCAATATCTTTAATGAATACTGGTGCAAAATTCTAAGTAAAGTATTCATAAGGCAACAACAACAGCAACATAAAACAAAGCGTGCACTACGCCCAGGCTGCATTTATACTGGGAAGTTGGGTTAGCTCAATACTGTGAAGAAAACCATTAAGCATAACTGACCTTCACTGTAACACAAAATCACACAATTCTATGAACAGACAAAGAAAAAGCTTCTGAATAGACACAGCGCCCACTCCTGCTTCAAAACCAACATCGGAAAACAGGAACAAACAGAGCTAGGCAGCACTGCGGACAGAGCGCTGGGCCTGGAATCAGGAGGACCCCAGCTCAGATCCATCCTCAGACCCTTCCCAGCTGCTTGGCTCTGGAAAAGTCACTTAGCCGCTGTTTGCCTCAGTTTCCTCGACCACAAAATGGGGATAATAACAACACCCACCTGGTAAGGGTCGACTTAAATAATATTTGTAAGAAGCACTTAGCACAGTACCTGGCACATAGTAGGTGCTCCATGTTCACTGACTGACTGACTGACATGGTCAGACCTGCGCTTTAGAAAGATGAATTCAACTTGTACACGGAGGATGGTCTGCAGGGGGGACAGACCAGAGGTCAGCAGGCTTCTGCAGTTGCCCAGGATGAGAGGGCCTACAGCAGCCTTGAGGCTGGGTGGCCCAGCCGGCAGGTGGCCACCGAGTCCAAGATCAGGGGCTGACTGGGAGTTCCTGGGGGGCTTTCGGCAGGAGGGAGAGAACCTGCAAAGTCCAGCTGGCCCGGCCTCCAGCTCTGCTCAGTGAACACACCAGCCAGCTCGGCAGCTCACAGAGGAGCCGATGGCAGACAGCTGAAAGGAGGGAGCTGGGGCAGCCGACCCAGCATCCCCAGGCGCCTCTGCGCGGGCCCCAGGAGGACCCCCCCATACAGTTAGATGGAGGACACACCTCCGGCCGCTACCTCCAGGTTCTCTCTCCTCCCTTGCTACAGCTCGCACTGTACCGACGGGGGGATTCCGAGGCATCTGGCCTCACACAGCGTCCGGAGCACAGGCCGAGGGCTGAGCAGCACAGGGGCATGCTCCCACACGCACCCCTGGTGGCCCCGGGGCTCGGGTGAGCCACAGCCTGCTACCCGGAGGTAGAGAGCTCCCCCTGCTTCAGGAGGAAGGCCGGGGCGGAGCGGTTGTGTGCGGGAGAGTCACATCCCTGCGTACTCCCATGGTCGTCAAAAGGAGAGGGGAGAAGGGATGGGGGGGGGCCCAGGTCAAGGATGACCACCGGCCCATGACGCCAAGGGAAAACGAGGCTTCTCCGCAGGTCTACTTCAGCTAAAACCCAGAAATCACCAGCCTGGACCTCGGCCTCGCTCTCAGAGTAGAGCCGGCAGAAATGCTGGGGGGTGGGGGGGCATGAGTGCCCCCACCCTACCCCAGAAAGGGGTCATGTGGAACGGGGCCGGGTAAATGGGATGTCCAAAATGTCACCTGTCCATGGAGGGGATGGGGGAGCGGGGCGGGCCCGAGTCTGTCTGCCAAGCCTGCAGCCTTTCGCTTTCATCACAGACCTGCTCTGTGCCGAGCACCGAGCTAAAAGACAAAGATGAAAAACCAGGCCTGCCCTCATGGACGAGGCCTGACATTCGAGGCAGAAGAACCGCCTCCCACCAGCTCTTCTAACCTCCTCTTCCTTCTCGAGCAGTAGGCCCCACAAGCTCCCTCTGCTAGGTCTTCCTTGCCTCCCCCACTCCAGGCTGATCACACCTCTCTCCTCATCAGATGCTGCCTCAGACTGGGCCTTCCCTGGGGAGGCACCCTACCCGACACTCCCAGAGGCTGCAGCCATGCCCATCTCTTCACCCCCACCCCTACAGTGACCGCCAGACCAACCACCAGGCCCTCGATTTGCATGCAGAAGGCACCAGAACCAACCTTTGGAGAACTTGGCCAAGAGGCCTGGCCTTGCTGGGGCTGAAGCTCGGCTTTCCTCCCCAGGGGCCAGGGTCCTCAGCACTTCTCCCTCCCCCATCTCCACATGCCCAGGTGCTAGGACCCTGTTGATGCTGACCAGCCCAGAGACGCAGGATCCTAAGGGAGCCCGGGCCAACAGGCCAGCCCCGGGCGAGTCCAATGCCATTCCACCCACCCGCTGAGCACTCTGGCCACTCGCCGCCAGACACTGGCTGTGGGCAGGAGGTCCTGCCCCTCTTCCCAGGGTCTTCCCACCTTTGGAAAGGGTCCCTGTGGGAGGTGGGTGGGGCAGCACCTCCCTGGAGGCTCTGTTCTGGCCACCCCGCTGAGGCAGGGGAAGGTGTGCCCCGGGAAGTCACACAGAGGGCCTCTGGCTCAGGCTCGGAGGGGCAGAATTCCCCGCGTCCACACTGAGGGCCGTCTCCATGTGGGGGCTCCCTGGCAAGAGCAGAGGGTCCTCCTGAGAGCACCCGGGATGAGCACTCGTTAATCCCTGCCTGTTTGGCGCCAGCCACACTGCTTACATTTGCTCACCTGCCTTGACGGCCTGTGAAGGGTGGGGGTGGCACAGAGGCCCTGGGCAGCTGCTGCCTGTGTTCACCAGTCTCTAGGCACACCCAGCCCACTGCTTCATCAGGAGCCTTGAAGGGTGCCCCAAGGACCCCAGAACGTCTTTCAGAGACCCACTCGGAAGCTCAGCCTTGGAGAGGGCCTGGGGCCAGCGCCTCCCCACCTGAGGTGTTCCTTACTCACACCGTGAGTCCAGGGACAGAGCTAGGGACAAACCTTCCAACGCTGAGGTAAGGGGCCCCGAGGAGGCCCGAGGCCACAGGTCAGCGCCTCCTCCCCCCCACAACAGGAGCCCAGCAGCTCAGCCTGGCCCAGCTCGAGTTCTCTCTCTACTCACCCCGGGACGATGGTGGACGGGACGACCAGGATGACCAGCAGCTGGGCCTGATGCAAAGCCTCCACCACATGAGTCAGCGTGTGCAGGAGATCCCTGAAAAAGAGGGGACACATTTCACCCCAGAGTACACAGGACAGTGGCACCGCCCCTCCCCAGCCCAGCTCAAGGAGGTCTCCCTTCCATCCCCTTGTGCTCAGACCCCAGGCCTGACCCAGAAGCCCGCAGGCTCTCTGTAATCTAGACAGCACCAGTCACCTCTCCAAGGGCCCACTCTATGCTTTCCCTAGCAATCAGGTGAGCTTGCTGGCCTCTTGTATGCCATTTCTGGGAGTCTCTTCCTCCTCTTTTTCTTTACTTTTTAAAAAAATTTTATTAATTTATTTTGATTTAGCAATAATCACTTCCATATTCTTTTGAGTTTGAAATTTTTCTCCCCCTTCCTCCCCAAGATGGCACATAATCTGGTATAGGCTATACGTTTACATTCCTAATAAACATTTTCACATTAGTGGTGTTGTAAGTAAAAATAAAACCAGTAGGAGGAACCACCAGAAAGAGGAAACAAAACTCAACAGAAGAGAAAAAAAAATAACAATTCAACTTCCATAGTTCTTTCTTTAGATGTGGATAGCATTTTCCATCATGAGACCTTTGGAGATGTCTTAGATCCTTGTATCGCTGGGAAGGGTTAAGTTAAACAATATTAGTCATCGCACAACGTGGCTGTTACTGTGTACAATGTTCTCCTGGTTCTGCTCATTTCACTCAGCATCAGACCATACAAGTCTTTCCAGGTTTTTCTGAGGTCAGCCTGTTCATCATTTCTTACAGAACAACAGTATTCCATTACATTCATATACCACAACTTGCTCAGCCATTCCCCAATTGATTTCCTCCTCCTTTTTTGAAATGGAGACAACATTGCCCTTCCCTGACCTCATGGACACTTAGGTTTTGTTCTAAGCCAGAATCCAAGGCGCTGTGGGAAGTCCCCCTCTCATCATCTGCCCCAGAGGCAAAGGAGCTGGCAGGCGACACCCCAGGGGCAGAGGGAGCACCAGGCACAGCCTTCCCCACCATGGGTACCTCTGGGAAGGAGGCCAACCAGGCACAGCTCCCAGGGATAGGCCTCAGACAAAGGTCTTCTCATGATGATGACAGACAGGCTGCTGGGTAGCCTTGGGACAGGGTCTTGGCACGTGGCTGGGAGGTGTTGTGGCTGGGGAAAGCCAGGTGACTTGTTGGGGGAGGGCTGGCCTTTGCCCTGGGTCTCTCCCCTTGCCCACCTCAGTGTCATGGGGGCTGGGGCTGGTCAGGACAATCCAGCTCGGCTGGGCTTGGGCCTCTTTTGGTCTGCCAGGGCAGGAGTGGAGGGCAGCTTTACCCCCACCTCCGTCCACTGAGCTGGAGTCTGGGCTTATTGTCCTGGGTGGGGAGATGCTCTCCAAGGGTAGTGTGATCTCAACTGAGCTGCTAAAGCCTTGGTGGACCTTGGCCAAGTAGAACGGCCAGTGCCTCCTTCCTCTGGCACTATGGGAGAGGAGAGGGGGAGTGAGAAACAGTGGAAGGTCGGGGGGCTGGAAGCCTAGTTCCCTCTTCTGGCTTGAGGTGCTAGATTCTCACCAGAAATTTGAGAGCTCCTCCCTCAGAGAAGCTTGGGGAGTTGCCTGGCCTAACTAGCCCCGCTGGTGTTGGCCACAGAGCAGAGCCCCAGCCCAGATGAGTCCCCATGACAGAGGCGGAAGCAGAGCCTGCAAGAAAGGCAAAGGCTGGAGAGCCAGGCTGCTTGGCCTATTATAAGAAGGCTTCTATCAGCATTTCTATATGTTACTAACAAAGCCCAACGGCAAGACACAGGAAGAGAAATTCCATTTAAAGTTACTGTAGACGTTATAAAATATTTGGGAGTCTACCTGCTGAAACAAATGTGGGAACTAAAACACTTTTCACACAAAGAAAGTCAGATCTAAACTGGAAAAATACCAGTTGTTCATGGGTAGGCTGAGCTAATTTTAATTATGACAATTCTACATAAATTAACTCACTTACTGGATGCCATACCAATCAAACTGCCAAAATATTGTTTTACAGAGCTAGAAAAACTAGTAAGATTCATCTGGGAGAACAAAAGATCCAGAATATCAAGGGAACTAACGAAAAGAAATGCAAGGGAAGGTGGCCTAGCTTTTCCAGATCTTAAATTGTATTATAAAGCAGCAATCATCAAAACCGCTTGGTACTGGCTAAGAAAAAGAGTGGTGGATCAGTGGAACAGGTTAAGTATGTAAGACACAGTAGTTGATGACTATAGTCATCTAATGTTTGGTAAAAAACCCAAAGGTCCCAGCTTCTAGGATAAGAACTCACTATTTGACAAGAACTGCTGGGAAAACTGGAAAAGAGGATGGCAGAAACTAGGCATGGACCAGCATCTTACACCATATACCAAGATAAAGTCAAAATGGGGACATGATTTGGATATAAAGGCTATTACTATAAGCACACTGGGAGAGCACGGAATGGTTTACCTGTCAGATTTATGGAGAACAGAATAATTTATGACCAAATGAGAGATAGAAAACATTATGAAATGCAAAATGGATAATTTTGATTACATTAAATTCTTTTGCACAAAGCCAATGCAACAAAGATTAGGAGGGAAGCAGAAAATTGGGAAAGAATGTTTACAACCAGTGTCTCTGATAAGGGCCTCATTTCTAAAATACATAGAGAAGTCAAATTTATAAGAATACAAGTCATTCCCCAATTGATAAATGGTCAAAGGATATGAACAGGCAGTTCTCAAATGAAGAAATTAAAGTCATCTGTAGTCATATGAAAAAATGCTCTAAATCACCATTGATTAGAGTAACGCAAATCAAACAACTCTGAGGTATCACGTCACACCTATCAGACTGGCCAACATGACAAAACAGGAAAATGATAAAAGCTAGAGAAGATGTGGGAAAATTGAATACTAATGCATTGTTGGTAGAGTTGTGAACTGATCCAACCATTTTGGAGAGTAATTTGGAACTATGCCCAAAGAGCTATAAAAATGTACATACTCTTTGACTTAGCAATACCACTTCTAGGGCTGTATCCCAAAGAGATCACACAAATGGGAAAAGGACCCACATGTACAAAAATGTAGCAGTTCTTTTTGTGGTGGCCAAGAATTGGAAACTGAGGGGCTACTCATCAATTGGGGAATGGCTGAACAAGTTGTGGTATATGAGTGTAATGGAATACTAGTGTGTTATAAGAAATGATGAGCAGGCAGACTTCAGAAAAACCTGGAAAGACTTGAATGGTCTGATGCGGAGTGAAGTGAGCAGAACCAGGAGAACGTTGTGTATAGTGACAGCCATGTTGTGCGATGACCAACGTTGATAGACTTAACCCTTCTCAGCAATACAAGGACCTAAGACATCTCCAAAGGCCTCATGATGGAAAATTCTATCCACATCCAAAGAAAGAACTATGGAGTTTGAATGCAGATCGGAGCATATTATTTGCTATTTTTTTTACTTCTGTTTCCTCTTTCTGGTAGTTCCTCCTATTGATTCTAATTCTTCTTTACAACATGACTAATGTGAAAATATGTTTAATAAGAATGTATATGTAGAGCCTATATCAGATTGTGTGCCCTCTTGTGGAGGGAGGGAGAGAAAATTTAAAACTCAAAAGCTTATGGAAGTGAATGTTGAAAACTAAAAATAAATTAATTAATGAAGAAAAAGGATTTGGAACTCAAAATTTTAAATTAAAAAAAAGGGGGGGGCTTCTACAGGTGTTTCCCTTGTGTGAGCACCTGGAGGGGTGACAGAGACACCCTAAGTAGAATTCCTGAGGCACCTCTGCTAGAGAATATCAGGGAAACATTAGAAAAACAGCACGTCCAGAGGAGGGCAGGAGGAAGTTCAGGGGGGACGGGAGAAGGGAGCGGAGCAATGTTGTTACTACCACGGTCAGTATAATTCACACTCTGCTTCACAAAAGAGAGTACAACATCACCTACAATCCTCCCCTTCTGTTCATCTTACAAGGAAATGCCTGTGTTCACTGACATCTATGAAGCTCAGATTCCTCTAAAAAGAACAAGATGCCAGGCCTCGGGAAGGGTGGGAGCTCCCAGAGACTGTCCCAGGCAGGAAGGCTGGCCCCAGCCTCAGGAAGCTTGGAGGAGATAAAGGCAGAGTGGGGACTGCATCTTCTGGGCATGACCCAATGCCAGGAGCCAGGCGGTATGGGCCCATGGTGCTGCCAGGAGCTGGCTCACATGAACCCCCCCCCCCAGAGGCAGAATTTGGGGCCAAAGTCACCCAAGCCTGCTCAGGAGCTGGTAGTGCAACAAGATCGCAAGGGGAATAAGTGACCTATCCAAGAGGACAGACTTGAACTCAATCAGGCAAACAGAGGCTGCAGGTGGGGTGTGTGTGCGCGCAGGTGCACGTGCTCATGCTCGCATGCCCTCCCTGGCAGCAGCAAGCCAGGCTTCTGTCTTGACAAGCCAAACTGCTCCTGGCAGCTGGAAAGGACAGCGACAGCTGCTGCCTTGTCAGGAGGCCTGGATTCAAATCCTGCTTTGGCTGCCAGTGGGACGTGCTCTCCTCCCCTCCTTGCCCTTCAGCTCCCTGCTCTGTGAAAGGAGGAGCTGGGACCCTGTGGTCTCTAGTCCAGCCTCCCAGAAGCCTGTGATTTAGAAGAAAGAAAACAAAAACTAAATTGTTCTTAAACTATGGGCCAGGTTCTAAAGGAATTCAATGTCTCACTCCATTAGTCTAAAAGAGTAAGGCTTCCTTGTGTGGGGAACCTCTCCTCCCCCCATGTCCCATGCCTCCGGACTGCAGATGGCCTGGCCCCAGGAAGGAGGCCAAGGCTCATGCCGCTAATGATCTCCCCTCACTGCCCACGAGGGTGAGAGGGCACGGCAGCCGTCTCCCAGTCTCTGACAGGCTGAGCAGATTGCTTCAGACAACCCTCCTCAGTGAGGAGAGCTGTCCCGGGGAAGGGAGCATGCTGGGGGCTCCAGCAGAGACAGGGATGCTTGTCCTGACACTGGGCCAGACTCTGGGACTCCTTGGGGGGAG